GGGGGGGGGGGGCAGTCCTTTGCTGGGGTCCGAGGGCCTGGAGGGGGCCTACGTAGTACTGCTGACTGAGACCTGGAGTGGGGACCTCCCAAGGCCATGTAAGGGCAGAGGCTCTCCTCAGTAGTCAAGCCGAGGACAGGTTCTCAGACAGAAATGGTGCACTGGGCAAGTACCCTGGCAGACAATTAGTATTCCAGGGTGGAAAGCCGACGGGCCTCCTCTCCTGTGCAGTTCAGGGCACAGTCCCTGAGAGGGGACCTTGCGTTGGCTCACTGTGCCAGCGAGCCAGTTAGGAACTGTCTGGGCTCTGCTGTGGTCAGCGGCGAGAGGTTCCCTGCTCCACCGCCTGTGCCTGGTCCCGCCACTGGGGTGGCACAGGCATGGCATGGGCGTTGCTAACCTCCAGCACCTCCACCTGCGCTCCCAGCCGCCGGCCCAGGACCCGACGCTCGCACGGAGAATCCGCCCCTGAATCACAGAGGGAGCTTTAGCCCCGACGGGTACGAAGGGACCTGCTTCTCGTGCCCCCATAACTTTCATGTGACAATTCCCATTTCTGACCATGTTCGGTAAATTTAATTAGTGTTGAAAAGCAGCTTATTTGGTACGCTGATCAGTTTCTAACTTGGGTAAACGGCTTTCCTGATGACTGTAAATTAAACGCGTTGTATCTTTTCCATGCATCGTGGTTGTCCGCATAAGCTCGGGCAGCTGCTGGCGGTCTCACTTGATCGCCTCTCCCATTACTGTTTTATCACTGTCCTGGCAGGAGTGGGGCGCTCATCCTGGTTGGGTAACAAGGAGGAAGTGGTGACAAGGGGCTTGTTGAATGAGGAAACCACGGCTCGGCAGCGTCTCTCTGGCAGACGGGACCCCAGGCCTGTCCCTGTGTGAGGCGTTCCCAGCTTGTCTCCGGCCTATTGTCCGCAGACTGGGAAGCGGCAGGTGCAAGACTTTAAAGCTGCTTTTACCTTAATTGCAATAATTAGGAATCAATTGTTTGCCAACAGCTGATTCCCCCGTCTGAGAGAACCTGAGTGTTTTGACAACCTCCACGAGCCCGGATAGGTAACACGAAGGTAACACCAAGGCCTCAGTCACACCTGCAAGCAAATCAAACGTGGGCACTAGAGGCACCACACACGCTGCTCTTCAGGGGTGTTCACTGCGATTGCACACGCGTGTGTTTCTAAGGAGAAAAGGTGGGGAGAGGGGGTTCTTCCCCCTCCAGAGTGAGCTGGCTTTCTGTTGACTGCCTGAGCTGGATTTGGTGGTCTCTGAAGCCCCTTCCTGCCCTGCTGCTCCAGACTCTAGTCCCCCTGCCCCCAGAAGGCCCACCTCCAAGGACACGTGTCCTCTTCATGCCGCCATCCTTCCAGCTTCCCTCCTGCCCCCACTTGGAGAAGGCAAGGGGAGATGCACCCCTCAAAAGGTCACTGCACACAGGACCCTCCCCACCCTCTTCATCTCAGCCTGGGGCCTGAGCAGCGGCAAAATCTGAGTCAAGATCAGCTTTTAAAACTGTTGTGTCTCTTAAAACCTGAGTGTACAGGAGCCCTGTGAGGACAAAGGTCCTGCCCCTGTGGGGTCTCCTGAGGCCAGAGAGTGCAGCAGACACTATGGGGCAAGAGGATTCAGAGAGGGGCACTTGGATATGATGTGGCAGGAAATGGACCCCGGGGGTGAGTTGGAGCCGATTTAGGAGTAAAGAGCGCAGTCTGGGTGGGCGGCACAGCCAGAGCAAAAGAGACCAGCAGCTCAGAAACTTTGGCTCTGTTTTTTTATCCAAACAGGGGAATTAGTGGGTGCTCTTCCCATTGCACACGGAGGTTTATTAAAACGGTGATACATTTGCAACACTTGGTGTCCTGGCACTGTGTTGGGAAGGAAACAAATGCTGATATTTTTACAGCTGTGTTAGTTTTTCTAGCAGCCGAGAGCGCTTTCCAGGGTAACCTATTTTCCAGAAATCAGGCTCATTAAACAGAGTTGGTGACAAAGCAGCCACAAATACCATGGGTGGGGGCCTCCAGCCCAGAGCCACCCTCCGCCTGTCAACCTTGACGGGAAGGCATGCACTGTGGCTGCTGAAGGCCACGGAGCCTTCACTGTGACATGCGAGCAATTAGCAGAGTGGATAAAGGACATTCACGTGCCCGCTTAGGATCTGCACTTTTACACTGCTTGGAGATATTCTGACCTTCTAGTTTATTCTGATTCAAGAAAACGTCAATATTTCTTAGCTTGCCAAGGCTGGAGGAATTTAAATGAGTTATTGAATCAAGCAGTTAATCTACCGATAACTAATTCTTTTCCTTTCAAATCTATAATGATGAAAAGTAGGCTTAACGAAAAAACGAGAAAAGGAAGGTTCTTTTTTTCCCTTAGACATTTTAATCCCATGGGATAGACGCTGGGGCTGGAAGCGCAGTCTCGAGTGCCAGGGCCATTCTGTTTCACTGAGTATTTTGAAGATTTAATTAAAACTTAAAAGCAGAGACTTCTGTGGCCATGAAATCTACATTCACGTTTTAATTATTTGTATTTTGATACCCCTTTATAATTCTCAATGTCCTATCTGTTGCCATTAATGCCACGTGGCAATCAGCCAGTTTCCTGGGCTCCTGTGACAGAGTGATGCTGGTGGTAGATGCTTGCTTGGCCTTTCGCTAAGTGTCCCCTCTTAGTGTAAGGACAATATCCAACCTGCCCACTTTGCTCTCTGGGCTCTGGGCATCACTGGGCTCTGGGCATGTGTTGAGTACAGGGGACACCCAGCAACGTCACAGGGAGGAGACCTGAAGCAACACAGCAACTGCCATTTCCAGGTTCTTAGGCTTCTTGCCCGTGGCTGCAGCACTGTGCTAGGCAGTGGTGACGCGTGTCCCGGAGAACTATATTCTCCCCAGGGGAAAAGGTCACCCTCTGGCCTCCCTGCCTCGACTGCCCTCCCCACCCCCATCCTGACACTTAGAATAGCACTTCCTCCTTCCTCTACACCTCCTCCCCAGATTCCGCAGCGGCTCCCCAGTGCCTAGCATATCAGACCGAAATTTCTCTGCTTGGCTTTCTTAGTCTCCTGAAACCATACCTTGTTGCCCTTTACTGACCCACCCCTCACCCCCTGCGCAAAGCTCCTCCTCACCTCCGGTCTCCTCCCTGCAGTGCGGTTATGGGAGCTTGACTCAAGCCCTCTACGTCTCTTGGAAAGCCCACCTGCTCTCAGTCGGCAGGGCCCATTGGCACTTTGCCACGTCCGTGTAGCCCCCATTTACTTCTCTCTCTCAGGTGGGCGGGGCTCATGTCTGAGATGTTTGGTATGAGCCAGCCATAAAAACCAAGCTCTACAGTACAAGACACTGCTCTTGGCACCCAAGGCCACCTCCTGTTGGAGGGCAGGGACTCCCTTGGGCACTGCGAGCCCCCTGGCCTCTGCCTCACAGGTAAATGGATCCTCTGCTCACCAGGACTTGAAAGAGCCACAAAGGAAGCCCAGGACCCCACCCAAGTGCCTGTGGCTGACCCTCTGCGTCTGTTTGCCTGGCAGGGCTCTCGGACCACGAAGGGCTGCCGGCCTCCTGCGGGAAGAAGCTGTGCAGCCGCGGGAGCAGATGCGCGCTCAGCAGGGAGACGGGGGAGCCCGAATGCCGGTGCCTGGAGGCCTGCAAACCCAGCTATGTGCCCGTGTGCGGCTCCGATGGGAGGTTTTATGAAAACCACTGTGAGCTCTACCGAGCCGCTTGCCTGCTGGAGAGGAAGATCGCCATTGTCCGCAGCAAGGACTGCTTCCTTAAAGGTAGGGAGACGGCTCCGTGCCCCTCTGACTTGGGGTTTGGGGATGGTTCTTCTAATGCTCGTCTAACCACTGACCCAGGTGCACTGAGTTTATAGGTTAAAATGTAAAGGCAATAGAGAGAGGCGAAGGCTGGAACCGTCACAGCCAGGCAGCAGTGGCATTTTGGAGGTGCAGGTTCTGTTGTGGCCACCTGCCGCCAGAGAGCAGGATCCACAGAGGCCCAGCGATGCCTGGCTGCTGTGGGACACAAAGGAACCAGGCCACAAGGCAGTGCCCAGGCCTCTCACACATGGGCCCTACCCAGGTGGTGATAGGACCTACATTTACCCTCTGGACAGTCTCATGAATCGGGACCATGCTGTGCATAGAATGTGGCCAGGTGGACACCAGCACAGTGGGTCCCAGCATGGCAGGCTCTCAAACTCTGGTCTGGAGTGGTCACTGATGGAACAGCACTCCATGCCTGGCCTGGCCAGGACACCCCTGAGCAAGACAGGAAGGCCCTGAATGGACAGCAGAACGTGTCCGTGGAGTTGAGACCAAAGGGTTCATGCTCTGTGCTGGGGCTGAGTCAGAAGAGAAGGGCAGTGGCAGGTCCCACTGGCAGGTTAGAGCCTCCGGGGCAGGCCCTATGGCTCTTCGCACCCGGTCCATTCTCAGCACCTGGCGCTGTGCCTTGCACCAAGTAGACACTCCATGGCTCACAGATGCTGGAAGATGTGAGAGGTAGAATGCAAATGCCCGGCGAATGGTACTTCCCACAGCCTGTAGAAATGTTTGTGGACCTGAAACCAAATGGCCACACATGAATAAGTTAGGAAATGTGAGCAGGCAGAAGCAATGTGTGGACAGGTGGGAGCGTGGGGGACATCGGAGGAGGGAGAGCCCACGTGGGGTTGCATGAGGGCAGAGAACTGCCTGGGGGTGGAGGTTAGGGAGGGGAAGAGGAGGCTTGGAACTGAGCCCCACCAGTGCCTGCAACACTGACAGCAAAGGGCTTCTGAGTGGGTGGAACTGCAGGGGGCGCACTCTAACCCGGCCCAAGCCCAGGATGTGTGACAGGCACATTTCAGGGTGGAGCACAGGCCTGTGGCTCTTGCAGCCTCTGCCCATGCCACCTGCAATCACATGAAGGACAAACTCCCCATCCTCACCCACAGGCTGTGGCAGCAGGGAGCCCTGGAGCACTCTGGGCGCTGCAAAGTCAAGTTTATCCTCTGATGAGAACAGTCTTGGACACTTTCATGGCTGTGCTTATGACGCTAATGCTGAGGTGCTTCAGAAATCATGAGGCACATTATGGAAACGAGACCAAAATGAGCCCAGGAAAAATGTCCCTTGTCTGGGAGCACTGCCCCTCCGCTCGCCTGCAGAGTCCCCAGCAGCTCTGAGCTCTAAAACACTTGACCAGTTGCTCCAGCTTTATTGGCCGTGTTGAATTTTATAGACTGATGTTCCGTTCTCCAGTTTCCAATATCCCCCAAATTGCATCTTTCTGAAGGTTTTTATTTCTGCTTCAGAGTAAGCACAGCCTCCCTCAGCATCGGTTATTCAAACAGCATTTCTCATTTCATGCGAGGGGAAAACAGCCACTACAAAACCCAGGAGGGATGGGGGGCAGGGCAAGCAGATTAGGCTTCTGTTTCATGCTGATTGACTTTATCCACCAAATCCTTCTGATTTGTTGAGTTTTTCACAGATTTTCTGAGTCCCCACCCAGGCGGTGTGGCAGGGCCAGTGTCCCAAAGCTCCTTTTCAGTGGAGAACAGTACCTGTGAGGCCCCCGGGGGTCGCAGTCTGGCTCTGCCACATCCCAGGTGTGGCCTTGACTGCCTGACTCCACCTCTCTGGGCCTTTTCTCAGCTGTAAAAGGGGGCTATCGGCAGTACCCACCTAGTCTGTGGGTAAAAATACATAAGATGCTCACACAAACCACTGAACATGTGAGGGACGTACAGGTATTGATTATTAATGACACCTATTGTCATCGTGTCTAATCCAGTGCGGCCTGAGGCCTAGAGCAGGGAAAGGGATGAACTGTGCAGGATCCCCAGAGGCAGAAACAAGGGCTCGGCCCAACAGGGTTTGGGGAATATATCTGGGCCCTGGTGGCTTTATGGTAGNCAAACCACTGAACATGTGAGGGACGTACAGGTATTGATATTAATGACACCTATTGTCATCGTGTCTAATCCAGTGTGGCCTGAGGCCTAGAGCAGGGAGAGGGATGAACTGTGCAGGATCCCCAGAGGCAGAAACAAGGGCTCTGCCCAACAGGGTTTGGGGAATATATCTGGGCCCTGGTGGCTTTATGGTAGCTGGAAGGTGGGTGTGGAAGGCACTGATTGCTGTCCTGATGCNGAGCCGGCCTGATGCTGTCCTGAGATGCCCTTTCTGCAGGTTTGACCCTAGGGTTGGGCCCATGGAGAAGCTGTCACAGCCTCAGGCTCAGGGTCAGCTCCAGACCCTGGTAGGTGGGGGCCGAGAGGGTGTCTTGGAAGAAAGGAGGGTATAAAGGACAGCTTCCTTCAGTGCCCACCCCAAGATGGCAGTGCAGTATTTAATACCATCTTGAGCTCCTCGATGATCATTTGTCCTTTGTCGCAAATTTCCAGGGAGTTATTGATATTGGAAACTTAAAAACACCTTTTTCCCCCCATGCAAATATAACTTCTAAAATCATGTCCTACCAGACATTACAAAGGTAAGTTATGACTTTATTCTCTGGGGTTTTATCTGTCTCCAGAAGTCCTTACAGGAGGGGGCGAGGGAGGCGGAGTGTGCTATGGAGAGGGAGGGGTTCGCCTGGGCACCGCGTGGGGACACAGGGCCTCGCCGCGCTGCAAGGGAGGACAGGCAGCCTTCTCAGCCCCATTTGCAAGAGAACTTCTGGTAGCACATTCCAGTTGCCATGGCAATGGGGTGCCTTATGAACTTGGAATGAAATATCACATCACTTAAGGATTATTAGCATCTGAGAAAATCAAGACTGAACTCAAAATCATCACTTTGCAACCCAGACACCAGCCCCCCTGAAGTCCCAAGAGGGTCTCTTGCTGAAAATCAGGGGTTCGGAGGCTGTGAGGCGTGGTATCCCTTTCTTCTTGTGGCAAAATAGAGTCACAATTGTCCCCAGCCCCAAAGACCACCAGAGAATACCAAAATGGTGGGTGGAATTCTCTGTAATTTTCACTTCTTGTAGAGTTTGTTTTAAAAGTTATCTTGTGACATGGGTTCCTATTTGTGTACTAGTTACGTTTTTTTAAATTATTTTTCTGACTCGGTTTTGAATTCACGCTTTATCTCCCACGCTGTTTGAGAAGAGATTGCCTTTCAGCAATCACTCACCACGCCAGGGTTGTATTATCCCAGATGATACAATGTCATAGCCGGGCAGTTTTCCAAACAAACCATGAAATTATTGAAGAAAGGAGCCTGTTAGGGGTGCTGTTCTAAATGGACCTCAAGTGTCTCATCCTACATGCTGTTCGTAGGTACTTCAGAGGAGAGTTTCCAGGCTCATGAAATAAGAGGAGATAATTTCCCTTTTTTTTTTTTTAATTAACTATCTTATAGGCTCACTAACAAATCTTTTGTTAAGTGTTACTGAACACGGGAGTAAAAACCCAACTTTTTGTTGCAGATTAGCAGAGCAGCTAGATCGTGCTGCCAAAGAGACTTCTTTTTAATTTTCTTGTTGTTGTTACTTTGAGGCTTGTTGCTTTAGGGACATAAATGAAGTCCCAGGCTTCCAGGGCATTCCCACACTTCCCGTGAGTGACCTCTCCTGCTGCAGACTCAGCTTCCCAAGGTGTGTGAGATCCTGTCACAGGGCCCTGCCGCAGCAGGAGTCACAGGGGATGGGGTTTCACTCTGTTGGAGCGGGTCCCTGCAGCAGGGAGGTGCTGGGGCCTGAGGGAGCACCATGGGGGCGGAGGGGCCGTGGGGCTCAGGCTCAAGGGCACCAGCTCTAGATCCATCATGGGGCCATACGACACCTCCTTGGATGAGGCACGTAAGCTCTCCGTGCCTCACTACCTCATCTGTAAAATGGGAATGACAATCATATCAAGAAGCCATGCCCCACATGTAGTGAGCACTCTAAGCGGAATCGACAGCACTCGGGTTAATGGCAGTGTCATTGCAAACATCAGGGCACATTAGAGGGACAGATGCAAAAGGCTGAAGGACCCCTGCCCACATGCGACAATGCCGTATACCAGCTAAGGGTCGGGGTGGTGGGTACTCCAGGGAACCAACCAGGTGAGAGGACATTTCGCCCTCACGCTTATTTAACGGACAACTGGACACTGACCAAACTTTAGTCTCCTTCTCCAACGGCCTTGCTTTTTGAAAGAGATGTAACGAGTCACCCAAGCTCACCTAGCAAGTCAGCAGAGAAAAGAGAACCAAGACCTCCTGATTCCAGGTCTAGAGGAGGTTTCCAGAGTGAATGAAAGGCTCCCAGGAACTGTCAGCCAAGCCTGAGGAGGGGGCTGTCTGGCTGACATGAGAAGGGAATGTCTAGGGAAGGAGCTGGAGAAGAGACATTCGAGGTGCCTCTCGAAGGGTGAGAGATGGCATCCTAGGCGCAGGCGGGAGGTGCCTGCAGACCCAGGGAAGAGCCAGTGCTTAGAACGCAGAGCCTGCAGGGCAGGGCGCAGCTGGGGACAAATGCAGACGGGTGAGTGAGGGCCAGCTGAGAAAGGCCTGTGTGCCAAGCCAGGTACTGTGGACTCAAGCTGACTGGGTGTCAGATAAGCTACTCCAGCTTCCCCATTTCCCAGACAGGGACCTTGAGGCCCAGAGAGCACTAAGCAGTCCCTGCCCCATGGCACACAGGTGGTGCCACTGCAGCCCACCCCTCCCAGTCGCCCCCAGCTTTGGGGCTGTTTGTCCAGCAAGGCGCGCTCACAGCAGATGCGATGGCTTCCCTTTTCCTCGGAGGCCTCCTGGTGTGCAGGGAGGGCTGAGGAGCCATGGTGGCTGCTGGGCTGGNG